GAGGGTCAAGTTACTCCGGCGGCCGCCAGCACCAGCCCCAACCCACTCTGGTCCAAAGGCCTCAGAGAAGCGCCCGGCGAGATTCCACGACAGTCAACAAACTAATTCTGCAGGGGGCAGTAATTCATTCATACTGCTTCTTTCAAGCGGAGTTAAAATTTAAAGCAGATTATATTGCATAGAGAGAATCTCACCACAGTACGCAGCTAAAGTTGAACGTCACTACGTAGGTGACAGTAAGTGGCAGTGCCGTGGTGCTGCTGCCAAGTCTCTGCTCTGTCGCAGCTCTGCACAAGATGCTGTGCAGTGCTCCCACCAAGCCTCAGGACCCTGAGGGCACTCATAGGTCCTAACGGCCGTGACCAGCATCTCCCAGTACATCCATCCCCACCCCTGGGCCCAGGAGCCCCATTTCAGCTCAGCCCTGGGCACTGGGTCCCTGCCAAAGCCGTGCTGGTCCCAGCTCAGCCCCAGCTGCCATTGGCTTGAACCACAGAAGTGAAGCAGCATGGCTGGCAATTCCTTAGCTGCTCCCTTTCCAAAAACTTATCTGAAAACAGAGAAACCAGAAATTTTTTCTTGATTGCTTTCACTGTCAGTGATAAATTAAGATTTTTTTTCTTTCTGATTAGTCGAACTTCACAGGAACTAAATCAACATTTCAAAACAGAAACCGCATAATGACATCTTAGCAGCTTTCATAAATGAAAACTTGGGTATATTATTTGATTAAAGTTTAATACTTACTACCCCAGCACTTTATTTCAGAACCATACAGTCTTTGCTATCCTGAGTATTGGAATATATACTATGTTAAAGTATGCATAATTAAATATACCAGAGGACAATTGCCATGCAACTTCATCCTGGTGATGAACAATAAAGACAAATCTTCAGCTGCACTCATGGGAAGAGCCAGTTCCCCCCGTGTGTACCTCAAGCCATCTTATTTTAAATGTTGGACCTTACTTGGCTATCTGCTTTCCAGTGAGGACGAACTGCACTCTACAAATGCCTGGGTTTTATTCACTTCCTGGGCAGGAGTCAGGGAAAGCAACCCAGAAAGAAAGAGATTTCTCTTCTTTAGGCATCTACATTTGAACAAATGAATCTCATTCCAGTCACAAAAAAAGCCTCCAAACAATCAGACTCAATTTCCATAGTTTACACCTCTAAAGTCTTGCTGTACTGCTTTAGAGTCTTATAGGTCTTGGCACAAATTTTATTAGCAGTAATTTAACATTTACTGTCAGATCACTGGTGCAAATGTTGACTAGCGTAAGGTCTGCCACTCATCCCAGCAGCAATCCCTTAGAAACACCAGCTGTCCCACTGACAACCATCTTTTAGAGGTTTTGGTTTGGTTTTTGGGGGGGTTTTTTGTTTGGTTGGTTGGGTTTTTTTAGGTTTAATTCATATAATATCTGCTCTACTGGCACTGGGAGCTAATAATTATATAATAATAATCTGGAGTCAACTCCAGATGTCAAGCAGCTGCAGATGTTGCACAGCTACATAGCATGGTTGCTCCATGCTACATTTATTAAGTAATCTTTGTCAAACTTGTACTTTCCTCAAAGTGTGAAATCAGGGGTGTTTGACAACATGGGCTGCTGCAGACTGTATCCCTCAGCATCTTCTAGCTCAGTTTCACCTGGACTGTGGCTCCTCAAACCTGCATTTCCCTCTGCTTCACCCAATAATTCTCTGAAAGTCGCTGTCTTCACACCCTGGTATCCACGATCCCGCCACGTGGTAACGCACCATCTCCAGCCCCTTGGTTTTCTCCCATAATCTCTCTGCTTCCTTTTGTCTCTACCTTCAGCCCATATCTTTGTGGCACATGTTGTACAACAACGTTCAGATGGAGATTAAAAGCAGTAAAGTGTTCCCTAAGCAGATCAAATATTTTCCCCCCTTCCTTCAAGATATACAGAAAAACAACGAGTGCATAAATATTTTTACCTTTCCTTGATGTTCCATGTTCTTCGCGTTCTTCCCCTCTGTGTGCACTGGCTGTTCCTAATGGACAAACCTGGGGCATGGCAACTGCCTGCTTCTCCCTTTCTAATGCTCCTTGACACGGGGGCCATAGCAAGGGATGGAGCAGCAGCGAGATCACAGAAGTCTGGTTATCCTGACTTGTGCAAAGACATTGCCACTGGGATGGTCATCTGATGTTTGGCTTGTGGATCTGGTGTGGATCAAGGGCTTTACCCAGTTCCCCGTTCAGCTATGGCGGGAAATCTAGCCCACCAGCTGCAAGCATTTTGGGGGCTATTTGTCTGCAGCTGTAAAATACTCACTAGACTGGAGCTCAGTGTAAATAGATGAGTGGATTGCATTGCTCACCGTAGATTTTCTGAATCCCTTGAAGGTCATCCTGGGGCAGTTTGAAGTTGTGTGTTTCCATGTACTGGTAGAAAGGAGCCATGATAGCACTGGGATCATTGGAGTGTTCCAGACCCAGCGCATGTCCCAGCTCGTGGACTGCAACCAGAAAGAGATCGTTCCCTGCAGAAGGAAGGCACAGCCAGGTTAGCACACAGCCAGGTTAGTACAGAGCCAGGTTAGTACAGAGCCACCGCCTGACGCAGTCCCAAGCCCCACTTAGCCATAAAGCAAGAAGCAAATGCTTTCCTACCAGATTGCACAGCACGTCACAGTGCCAGGGTCACCTCCTGGTGGAGATGGTTTGAGTCCTGCAAGTCTGTGCAGCTTTTACTGTCATTGTCACAGAACAGGCAGGAGGCTCCTAGCCCATAACCACCCGTGACCATGAGCACCCTCAGAGCAGGCAAAACAGGCAGCTTTCTGACTGTCGACTCTTTTAGAGACAGTTTAGAGAAAATGGCCAACAAAACAGGCAGCTGTGGTGCCATCGCCTCCTTGTCTGAGTGCTGCCAGGAGAGGCGAGAGCACTGCCAGTCTGCTAACCAACAAGGGTACATGGGGGGAAGGGAGCTTTGTCCCCTTCTGGGTCCTCCAGTGCCACGCTCTGATCTGACCTGGACCACCAAATCCTAGGGGAGATCTGCAAGGCACCTGGCAAAGCAGGAGGAAGGACAGAGAAGACCAGGGCTAACACCCACCATAGCACACGTAGTACCTGGGACAACCCCACCTCCTCTAGCACAGGCTCCTCAACGAGCTTTTTACTTTGCTGGACTCCTGGCACTGCCACGTCTGCGGGAGGAGGTGAGCACAGGCAGCACCAACAGCAGGAGGGAGGAGGAGGAAGGAGGAAAGAAGGGACATGCTCCTGACAGGAGGACAAAGGGCTGAGGAGCCCTGTCTGGTCCAGAACCTGGTAGGGCTGCGAAGTCAGGGTACCTTCAACTCTATGTTACAGGCACACACTCCTCTTCAGTCCCATGGATCCGGGACCCTCATCTCCTTGATCTAGTGTGGTCCCTGGATGTCCTACTCCGTGAGGGCACCTTGACGTGGGAGTTGACACAGGCAATGCTGTGTGAGGGATGAAGACACAGCCAACAAGGGTAGACGGAAGAGTCTCCCCATGCCAATAAAACACCTGAGCCCTCAATTCCGCCTGAATTGGGCTTCTCTGTTTTTTGGTGAGGCACAAAAATGCCAATAAAACACCTGAGCCCTCAATTCTGCCTGAATTGGGCTTCTCTGGTTTTTTTGGCGAGGCACAAACCAAGAGCACTTGCAATCATACACGGGAGAAAACTGCTGGCAGTGGCAGCTCAGCAGCTGCTTCGCAGCATCTCCAAACAGCCTGTCTCCGTTCCC